CCTGTTTGATAGCTCAGGTCAGTATCTTTGTTAAGGCAGGTCTAGAGTATCCTTGGTTCTGTGGCTAATTCTACTACTAAAGTCTGGCCCCTCCAGGGTTGGTTCAGTGAGGTTTCTTCACTCATCGCTTGGAACTTTAGCATCTCACAGCAATTTGGGACCTTAAGAATTGTCTGGCTTACAGCCCCAGCATTTGTTCTTCCTTCAGTAATCATACTTTGCCCAGCTCCTGGAGTTTCACCTCCACATGTCCACTCGGTACCCTGGCCAAGCACAAAAGAGAACCTCTGCACCCATGTCTGCAGCTCTGTCTGTGTCCCTCAGTCCTCCAGTGCCATGCTCAGTGAAGTCTGGCGGCCTCTGCCTCCACTGTGGTCTGCCCCATGGTTTGCAAAGCTCCTCGGGCAGCACGTCTGAGTGGTCCTAGGGTTCACTTCATTTCTCCTCTCTGAGGGTCACACCTGTGCTATGGGAATGGGAGATGCAGGCTGCCAGACTGATACTCATCATTCTTGATGATTAGTCCTACTTAAAAATTTGGGGGGGGGATTATTTATTAGTTCTACTATTTGGTTCTTCCACAATTCCTTTGATCATTATTAACTCCTTATTTTCCTTAATTTTATTATTTTAATAACCTTTTATTTTTATGCTTTCCTGTTTATTAGAATAACTAGTTAGGGCTATGAATTTTTCTCTGAGAAGTCCTATAGCAATTTTCTACAGGTTCTGATAGGCAAGTCTCTTTGTGGTCATTGTTCTCTAGATACTTTACAATTTTGGTTTTGGCTTTCTTTTGAGATGGTAGAATTTTCTGGTTCTGTTATGACTTTTTAGTTGTACTGCATTCTTAATAAAGCTAACTACACTGTTTATAAGTTTTGAAAATTATTGAAGTTCCCTTTATAGCTTAGTGTATAGTCACTGTGATTTTCCCATGAAACTTTGTAAGCAAGTTGTTATTCACTTTTTAGGGTATAAGTTATTGATTGATTTTATATGAGTAAATGTTAATTTGAGTATACATAATAAATTTAAATTTGCAAAAATATATATGTATATATAAGTGTGTGTATTTTTTTAAACTTTGGTTTCCAATGTAAGATTATAAAAATTAGAGCTTAAAGTGTGAAAGCCACTCGGCTAAGTGACCCCAAAGTTCACTTGGAAAGTGTAAAATGTGAATATAAGTTAGTGTAGACCCAGAATGACCCTGGAGTGGAGCTGATATCAAAGGGTACCTAACACATTCTTTCCTCTCTCTTTTCATTATTTTTCTTCTATTTCCCCTCTATACAATATGTTAATAAGAAATCTAGATTACACAGAGTCAGGCCATGTGTTATACCAGTCTTTTATCAACAAATGAGAGCACATTATACAGTTTTTAATTGGTCTTAGGAAAAGCAAAGGTGAAATGGAAATTCAATTCTCCTAGACCTTTGTTCAAAATGCAATTTTCCATCTCTACTGTAAGGAACGAATTTTAATTAGCTTGATTCTCACCATTTGGCCATGCATTTGTAATCCTTGTTCACACTTTGTGAAAGAAAAAATTGATGAAAGAAATTGAACAATAATGGAAATCTTGTCTGAGCAGAACAAATTGGAATTATCAAATGCATTGCAGGATGACTGGCATGCTGGAGCTGGGGCGAGGAGAAGTGTCTAGTGACTTAGAAAAAGCTCCTCTCCCCAGCATGCCACTATTCAGCCTGACACGGTTTTGCCCTGCACGGGGAGCCTTCCAGAGTAGAGACGGCTGTGGTGCCAGGCAGACCTGGGTTGGAAGCCTGCCTCCAATCTTTAATGGTTGGTCACTTAATTTTCCCGATCTTCAATTTCCTCATCAGTAAAATGGGGTAATAACGTCTACCTAGTAGCCTCGTGAGGATTGAAAGAAACAAATCATGGAAAGTGCCAGACACATAACAGGAGCTCAAAGAATGACCAAGAGGAACTTTTCAAAGGCAGGATCAGTAGCAGGACTGAGGGATACTTGTGAGGTTCCTGACTTGCTTCCTCTTGAGAAGAAAGAAGTGGGTATGTTTGTACGCCGTGCTGGTGGTACCAGTGGTTGGAGGGCGGGGTTCTTCCAGACCTTCTTCTCAGTCACTCTGGGACAAAAAATAATCAGGGCCTTTTGCAGAGGAGTCCATTCAGGATTCTAATCTGTAGTTACCGAAGCTCCAAGAGTCCATTCTTGCTCAGCATGTGAGTTTTGTGGGACAGCTATAAGGACATGGAGGTCATGTTCACCAAGCACAGCTCACCGATGAGGAAGTGAGTTAAGAGTTTCTGGGCCAGCAAGTAGGTCAAATAGCACAAATCATAGAGGGAAGGGTGGTCAGCAAAACATACTATTTAGGGCTTTGTCGAGAGGTGTCAGAGAGGAAAAAGGTAGAGTTCATGGTCTTAGAGCTTGTAATATAACAGAGAAGGGAAACAAAACCAAACAGAACTCTAGGTGCTAACTGTAAAGATCCAATGTCCATACAACTTTTTTCTTTTCTCTGAGACAATGTCAAAATCAAATACTCCCTGAAGTTTTCAGCCCACCTGTCCAGGTTTGAGTTCAGAAAATAAAGTCCCTGTTTCTCTATGTGTACTGTTCCCAACTCAGTTTCTGAGAACCTCTGTGCTCCCAGAATCCCCTCCCTGTTAGGAGTGTAGGTCTACTCAGGGTTTGATAGATCTGGATTCATTTTCAACTCCCTCACTCACTCTCTTATGGCCTTGGGGGGAAGCATCTATTTCTCTGGACACCTGTTTCTTCATCTTTAAAATGGTCACATCTTAGGGTGGTGGTTATGATAATTTTGTTGTTGTTCAGTCACTAAGTCGTGTCTGACTCTTTACAATCCCATGGACTGCATCACACTAGGCTTTCTTGTCCTCCACCATCTCCTGGAGTTTGCTCAAACTCATGTCCATTGACTTGGTGATGCCATCCAACCATCTTATCCTCTGTTGCCCTCTTCTCCTGCCCTCAATCTTTCCCAGCATCAGGGTCTTTTCCACTGAGGTGGCTCTTTGCATCAGATGGCCAAAGTATTGGAGCTTCAGCTTCAGCATCAGTCCTTCCAATGAGTGTTCAGGGTTGATTTCCTTTAGGATTGACTGGTATGATTTCCTTGCTGTCCAAGGGACTCTGAAGAGGCTTCTCCAGCACCACAGTTTGGAAGCATCAGTTCTTCTGTGCTCAGCCTTCTTTATGGTCCAACTCTCACATCCATAAATGACAACTGGAAAAACCATAGCTTTGTCAGCAAAGTGATGTCTTTGCTTTTTAATATGCTGCCTAGGTTTGTCATAACTTTCATGGCAGCAGTCACTGTCCAGACTGATTTTGGAGCCCAAGAAAATAAAATCTGTGATAATTTAAGGACTCTCTTTGGACAGGCCTGTGCTAGGCCCTCAGGATGAACAGATAAAGAGGATCTCTTTTCTTCCTTCAAGGCAGTGGCTCTCCACCTGGGCCAGTTCTGCTTCCTCAGAGGACAACTGGCAACATCTGGAGACATCCTGGCTGTCCTTGTTGGGTGACGGTTGGGTATGGGGGTGCAGGAGACCTGGGGATGCTAAATATTCTACAATGCATAGGACAGCCTCCCCCCAACACCAGACACCCCCACCTCCTCGCTCCACCCCCGCGCGCGGCAGCGTTCCTTTGGATTTTAGAATTAGAAGAGGAAGATGGGTCCATTAGGGGTTTTCCTCTCCGAGAAAAGAGAAATGTCATAATCCTTAGTGTCATGTTTACCCCTCCTGCTGCCCTAGATGTCCCAGTCGCAGCTCCCTCGGAGGAGGACTGGGGACACGCTTCCTACCAGAAGCGCCCGGGTGGATGGCGCCATCCTTAGGCATCTACACGGCCCCAGTTAGAGATTCCCCGCCGCCGCTGCGTGGGGAGGGGCCTGGGCAGCCGGGTGAAACTGAAAGGAAGGAGCCTGGCGCTCGTTCCTCGGGTCTCTAGGCAGGGATGCGAGGCAGGCCCCTTACAAACGCCGCCAAGAGGCTTTGCGGGAAAGGCAAGGCTTCTACGGCGACCTTATTAGACTTCCTGGGGCAGCAGCTCCAGCCAGGCATAGCCTGACCGTTCACTGTCAGCACACCCAGGGCTCGACGGCTGGGCACCAAAGAGGGAACGCTTGCTGGCAGCTCCGGGGGCCCCCGCCAACTGGAGGCCGCCTGGGTCCAGCCGTCGCCGCCCCCCAAACTGGTGGTGGTGGCCCAACCTTTGAAGGGGACCCCAGGGCAGGAGGGGGCAGCCGGTCCTTCCGAGCCTTAGCCCGGGACTCCAAGTCCAGGAGTGCACTCCGGCTTCCCCCCGGGCTGTGCCTCCCGGGGCTGGGATGCGCGTGCGCCCAGAAGGCAACGCTAACTCGTTGGTGGCCGCGTGGGCGGCGGGGAAGGTGGGGCCACGCGTCGCCCCGTGCTCCTGAGCCAAGATCTGGATTCGGGACAGTGCCTGGGTGCTGAGTCAAACCCCAGCTGGGCTGGGTCTGCGGGCCGGGAACGCCGGCGGCGGTAGTTAATGATTAATTGCTGACCACCCGGCGTCCAGCCTCTCCGCACGGGAGACCACGCTCCCGGAGGGTGGGTTTGACCAGTAAAGGCCAGGTGGCTTGGAGGGGAGCCGGAGAGACGCGGAGCAAAGCGCCAGAGTCCTGCAGGGGAAGGGCGGGCGAGCTGGGGGCTGTGGGCTGACTGGCTGCAGCAAGTTTGGAACCTCCTTCCTCTGAGCTCACCACGCCTCGCCCAGTCACCACCCTCCCAGGCCCCACCCCTAAGCGCCTACGGCTTCGCCTAGGTTGGGCTGCCCCAGGAAGTTTCCATAAAAGGACCTGTAATCTCAAATTGTCTTTTCCAGGTGAGCTCGAGAGAAAGCCCTGCGCCCACTCCGGTGAGGTGCAGCGGTGAACTTTGGGCTCCGCAGGGAGGAGGAAGGGAAGTTGAGAAGGACTTTGGACCCGGTTGCCTGGCTGGCTGTCTTCCTCATGGGTTCCCCCAGCCACCCCAGCAGGGACTGCTCCCAGGTCATTGATCACAGCCATGTTCCTGAGTTCGAGGTGGCTACCTGGATCAAAATCACCCTCATCCTGGTGTACCTGGTTATCTTCGTGGTGGGCATCCTGGGGAACAGTGTCACCATTCGGGTCACCCAGGTGCTACAGAAGAAAGGCTACCTGCAGAAAGAGGTGACAGATCACATGGTAAGCCTGGCTTGCTCCGACATCCTGGTCTTCCTCATCGGCATGCCCATGGAGTTCTACAGCATCATCTGGAACCCCCTGACCACACCCAGCTACACCGTGTCCTGCAAGGTGCACACGTTCCTCTTTGAGGCTTGCAGTTATGCCACGCTGCTGCACGTGCTGACCCTCAGCTTTGAGCGCTACATCGCCATCTGCCACCCCTTCAGGTATAAGGCCATGGCGGGGCCCTGCCAGGTGAAACTGCTGATTGGCTTCGTCTGGGTCACCTCCGCCCTAGTGGCGCTGCCTTTGCTTTTTGCCATGGGAGTCGAGTACCCCTTGGTGAACGTGCCCACTCACTGGGGACTCACTTGCAACCGCTCCCGCACACGCCACCAGGAGCAACCGGAGAGTTCCAACATGTCTATCTGCACCAACCTGTCCAGCCACTGGACCGTGTTCCAGTCTAGCATCTTCGGCGCCTTTGTGGTCTACCTCGTGGTCCTGGCCTCCGTGGCCTTCATGTGCTGGAGCATGATGCAGGTGCTGAGGAGGAGTAAGCAGGGCACCCTGACTGCTGAAGGGCGGCAGCTGCAGATGAGGAAGTTGGAGAGCCAGGAGAGCAGGAGCGCCCGGAGGCAGACCATCATCTTCCTGAGTGAGTCCGGGGTGCAGGGCCTCGGGGGAGCAGACCTCACCCCCACCCCACCACTGCCCCCGTGGTCCTCTTAACCCAAGCCTTGCCTTGTAAGTGTGAACCTAAGTTCACTGAGGTTGAAGAGGCAAGGATATGAGCCTCTGGATGTTTCTTCTCTCTGTTTTGGAGTCTGGGGTAATGGTCAGAAGAGCACTTGACCAGAAGCCAGAAGGTCTAGGTACGTTCCCCAGTGGCAGCACTGTGACTGCTGGCCAAGTCACAGCTGGCCGGCAGCTTAGGGAAAATGGCGATGATAATACTGAGAAATGTGAGGGTCGAACTAGGTAACTCAGGACAGGTGAAAGTCCTCTGAGAAGGAGCAAGTTCTGCAGGGCTGGCAGGGAGCATCCTTACCTAGCCCATCTTTGCCCCGGGCAACCTTTCTCAGGCAATTAGACTGTGTTCCCATTTTTGTCCTCCTTAGCAGAAACAAGGCTGTCAGGAATACACTCTCCAGCCTGCGACTTTGTTCCCCCAAAGCGGTTTCCTACCCAAGTCTTAAGAAAGTGGACCTCTCAGACACCCACTTCTCTGGATAGTGCTTGAGTGTTCGTCGTGGTGGGTCTGTTTGTTATCAGAGCACAGCAACATAGCAGGAGTGGGCTGGCTTGTTTGTCTGAATCAGAAAATTTGGCTTCCCAGATTTCCTGCGACTTGACTGATTATCCAAAATAGCCAATTTCCATGCAGAGAACTTGGTTTGTTTCCCAAACTTTGGTTGTGATGCAATTATTTTGACTCAGATCCTTCTGTGTGCCAGGAAGAGAAGGGGCCCGTGATCAGTGGCCCCCCAAGACCTTAGAGGAGAGTCCTGGTGGCCCCCCTTTGAGAGACTAGGCCCTCCCAGAAACACACAAAGTGTACGCAGCAAAGGGTCTTTCAAAACATTTTTTAGCAGAAAGGAGCAAAAGATATCCTTGTGAGTGTGCGTCAAGGGGGAGTTGATGGAACAAATGTTTCCCTTTCTCCCCAGTCCCTTCTCCAGTGTGGCATCCGAGGAGGAATAAATCATGGTGCTGTTTGTTTTGGTGTGGGAAACTTGAGAAACAGGTTCCAGGGTGAAAGTTAGACAAGAAAGAAAGCTGGAAGGCACTTGAAGAGGGATGACAAGAACTGGGTTTTGGCCCAGCCCTACCCCTGGCTTCCCGTGTGTCTGTACAGTGGGCCTGACTTTATTGTGTCTGTGCAAAATGAGAGAAGGAGTCTGTGGGTTGGGGATGCCTGATTCTGCATCAGGGGCTGTGCTTCTGACATATTTCCATTTCATAGAGGAGGAATTTCAGACTTAGAACCTAGTTCAAATGCGCTTAAGTGCAGCTCCCAGATTTTAACCTTGTTTCTCTGGGGTGCCTCCGAGTTGCCTGTCACTCACCACGTGATAGGCCAAGAAACCGAGAGACAAGTTGTTGGGACAAGGAATAGCAGTTTTATTTGGAAAGCCAGCAGACTGAGCAGATGGTGGACTAGTGTCCCACAGAAACATCTTACCTGAGTTAGCATTCAAGCTTCTTTGTTAAAAGGGAAGGGGTATGGTTGGTTGTTGCAAGCTTCTCTGTTTAGTAATTCTTTGTTTTTGCAGCTGTATGTACAGGTAAGGTTGGTAAGATTATGATGTTCCTATAAACCTGCAATAAGACAAATGTTATTCTGTTCTGCAACTCTTCATATGAATGGGAAAACGTTATGTCTTTAAACATTAAAGCCTTGAGAGTGGTCCATCCTGTATATTTCATGCTAAAGGCAACATTCTTGTAGCAAAAGTGATAGAATACGTATGTTAAAGTAAAAGAAACAGATCCACTGAAGAGTCAAGATTTGTTTCTCTGTTATTACAAGGGCAGGGAAATAAGTGACTGCCTGTGGCTTTTTCATAGGCTCAAGGGGAAGGGAAAATGAAATAAAGCAGGACTTTGATAAGATGTGCAACCTTTCTGGAAACCGGAGTAAGGTCTGTATCAGGTGACTTTGTCCAGGGACTTAGGCAGGGCACCCAACCCGACTCAATCTCTCTTACCCACTGGTTTCTGCACAAAATATTCCAGGAAGAAACAAGACATTGGATTTGTTTGAACATCTGTTGAAAGACTAGTTCTTCCTTCCCCCATATACCTTTAAGCATGTCTTAAACTGTTAGCAGTATTTCCTACTTTAGTGTGAAGAAATTTCCTTTTTTTCTTTTTTGCGTACAGGACATTACCTCCCACGCTAATTTGGGAAGTAAGACTCCATTTGACCAAGAACAAAAATAACTGATTTCCCTTTGTTCTCTATTGTACCAATCTCTTTTTATTAATTTTTTAAAAAATTTCTCTCAGTAGATGTCTGTTCTTCTCCTAGTGGGTATTGTTCTAAGTCAAAGTCAGTCTCCAAGTTGTAGTTCTGTTTCCATTCAGACATGAAATCAAAACGTCCCAGACTTTTAGGGAGAGACAAATAGGAACTTGGAGATCATCTCATCCAGTTACTGATTGCTGAGGATGAGTCTGTTCTCTCAGCTGCCCTCATTCTTTCCTTCTCCTTGTCTCCCTGTTTCTTGTAACAACTAATGTATTAATCACCCACTGTGTTCCCTGCATAGATTGTTGAATGGCAATCAGGTGCTCAATGTGTGGTAATGTCTTGGGGGAATTTACCATTTGTATTTAGCCCATTGCCTCTGCAGTAGGTTTGCAGAGCAGTTCTTGCAAATGTCCCCTTCTCCCAATGAATTTCAAAGAGCTTTTGAAAATAGGATCCTCACTAATTAACTCAAGTTAGGAAATAAATTAATGGAATGAAGAGGAAGAAACCATGGTCTACATCCATCAGATTGATAAAATGCAGTTTACTTTGTGGGTTTCATAAAACATATGCTTTGGGGGCATTTTTAACCCAGAACAAATGAAAATATAAATTGTTTACAAATCGCTGAATTTAACATAGTGATTTAGCGGTCTTTTAGCACTTCAGTTAACAGATGTATCAAATTAAAACAAATATTTGCTCATTTCAAACATCTTTTGCATTTAATGTGAAATGTAAATGACAACACAGCACAAGATGTCTTTGGAGCTCTGGAGGCAATAAAAAAAACAATTAAGGATTCTCTCCTCTCGTTGTTAAAAATACTAACTTCTGCATAACAGAAGGGAAATTCATAAATCTACCCAAGATGAGGAAGTCTATGTAGAAAATATTATTAATTTTTCCTTTCTGCAGATTTGCTATTGTGCTTTAGTCTAGCTGAGGTTCTGGGCTGGTGAATAATGAAAACAAATTGGGAAATCTGAACAAGAAAGAGATGATGAGACACCTCCTAGCTCTCAAACAATTTGCAGGAGGGAACAATAATAATGTGAAAGTGCACATTTCTGGACACAGGAGTGTCCCTTTTGCCTCCTGTCAGCTCAGTAAGAAATCAGTACTAGACATATTTCTTTCTGTGTGGTCACTGCTAATATGACTTGTCCCATGCCAAGACAGCAAGGAGCTGGTACGTTTGTCTCTCTATAGTTTAGAGGTTGAGAATATGCAAAATGAGCCTTCCTTTCAAGAGAGTTTCCCAGACCTTCCATCTTGTCTTTCTCAACACTCACTTGGAGTTCTTTGCATTGCCTGCTCCACAGACGTTCATGTTTGTGTTCACTGTACATGTGGCTTGCTGTCAGATGTCACCCACTCAAAGTGAAATAAGAGTATTTTAAAAGAAGCCTGTAATTGGTAGCTTCCAAGAGCATGAAGTGATCGGGGCTCGGTTACGGCTACTTTCTAAGGATCTGTAAGGTAGTGATTGTCTTTCAAACATAGTTATGAATTTTTTTTTTTACATATAATTGTGAAATTAAAAAATTACATATCATGGAGGCTTGTGTTGTTAGTCACTCAGTTGTGTCTGACTCTTAGCGACAACATGGACAGGTGGCCTGCCGGGCTCTTTGTCCATGGAGTTCTCCAGGCAAGAATACTGGAGTAGGTAGCCATTCACTTCTCCAGGGGATCTTCCCGACCCAGGGATTGAACCTTGGTCTCCTGCATTGTAGGTGGATTCTTTACAGTCTTAGCCACCAGGACTCTATAATAAGTACAGTTTTTTTTTTTTTAAATTCTGATTTGCTCTCCCGAGTCAGAGGGAAAAGGAAGGAGCTGCAGAGAGTGATGGAATTGCACATCAGTTTGGGTTGATTGTGGAGAATATGTTGAATATGGACTCTGTCCATCATGTGTATTGGATGGAAAAAAAATTGAGAGTTGCCATTGTACTGAACTATTCTGAAAAAGAAAATTGATGTGTGTTTGAGTATTTGTGGGGTGGGTCAGAGAGAAGCAGGGAGGAGATCAGAATCATATCCTCTGGGTCTTAAGATCCCAGATATGAGGTCAAAGTCATGTGTTCATAGGAGAGATGGAGGAAGCTGAGATGTTGACAATAGCTGGAGTCCAGAGGGAAGGAGGCTCGGGGGGAGGCGATATATATATATATGTATATATTTAATTAAAATAAAATAATTATATATGTAATTATGACTGATTTGCATTGTATGGCACAAACCAACACACCATTGTAATGTGATTTTCCTCCAATTAAAAAAATAAATGGAGTCCAAAATTTCCCATGAAAAGAGGTTTTATTGGGATGTCATTGTGAAAAATAACAGTGAAAATTATGAAATTAGTCATATTTTATTAAATGTGGCTTCTAATCATATGTGAATTCTTAGAATAACTTTGTTTTTCCAGAATGAAACAAATGCTTTTTGGAGGATGTAATTTTTCTGACAGAAGAGGTCTGATAGCCATTGTGTTTGATTTTCTAGAACAGCAAGCTTATAAAGAAAGCTTTCTCCCAAGAGCTTCTCTTAATTCTTTGCTGTTTAATTCACCCTCATTGAAGCTCCTGTCCTAGCATCATCTTTGTCAATTTCCCCTCCTTTTAGGATTAACTGGTCTAATTCTGCCAGATCTTCGTTTGTCAGTGGCTTGTC